AAACAGATCAAGAGGTCCAACTGCGCCTTGCATCCTACACTATCAAGCACCAGAGAGCGACAAGAAAATGATGACTTCAATCGAACCCCTTACTGAGCATTATGTAGTAACGTGTCTCGCTATTGACTGGAACGCTACTTCAGTTTTACAGCCAATAACATCACGGTAAAAGGACCAATCTGAAGCTTATCATGGCAAATGTGACTGCAGAACGATTTCTTTGTCGGGAAACTTTATTTTTCTTGGTGCTATTACCATGCAGAGGTTGTCATATAATTAGCTAGGGAGGGGTTATAATGACACAATTCTCAGAGAGATCATGACATTAAATGATTATCAATATTCAAAGTTTTTCTCGCTTTTAGGTTAGGACTGGAAGCTTCTGACCAAATTATTGAATGAGGCCAATAGAATAGAATGGGAATGATGGAAAAAACGAAGAGAGCGAATTATTTTATCCTAAACGCTTTTGTGCTGGTATAATTTTCAGTGCAACATCGTGTGTCCTGCAGTTATTTAGGCCTGAAAGTTGACAGATCGACACGAGATGACTTAGAGGAATAAGGTAAAAATGCTGGCAGCCTCTTTTATTATTTGATATCGTAGGAAGAAAATACTTCTTTCTAGGAGGGAGATAGTTAACCAGCTTTCTTCGTTTTGCTACGGAAATAACTAATGGTTGATGATTTGTCTTATTTCGTCCAATTTACCCCCAGATAAATCAAATTCTTCCCACACTGTAAATAGGTTTTCAAAGAGAAAGGTGATGGTAGTAGAGAAAAGTATCGAACAAAGTATATGTAACAAGGTTATAGTTAGACCTTAATCCGAAAACTGGCTGCCAAAGAAACGCTCAGCCGTTAGTTGGGGGAAGCGCTTGGAGATCTTGCAAGTTTAAGTTTGTCTTTGACAAGGGCAAGTTCACGGTTATCACAAAAACATGAGTATGTTTTGGTTGAACCTTTATTACCTCTATGTATTACATATCATTTTCTTTTCATTTGCACCTTAATTGTAATGGGGAGACGCCCCATTTCTGTTTGCCGCTTTACTTTCTTCTCTTCTTCTTGTTAACATAAGGATAGTATTTCTGGTACTTCCCAGTCCACCCAGGGTGGAATCGTCCGTCCCCATTTCCGCCGTTGGTGGTAAATCGTATCCACAGGTAGTGCGAGGAGTCGTCATAGAAGGAACCCGCTGGAATGGCATGCCCTCCCCAACCATTCGTCAGCACATTTTCGGCAAATCTGTACAATAAAAAACAAAAATTAAAGTCACCGTAACTCCTTCAAAGGTTGCTTGAGATTACATGCTTTCTGAGAGAGAGCTACCAAAACAAAAGCACTAAAAGTAAAATTACAAAACATACTGTTAAGTTTCCTCGAAGAGGAGGATTAATTTATTGATGTATATAAGATGATCACAAACGTGAAATTTAAGATGTAAAGAAATAAATTTTTGTTATGTAAGATGATTATTAAAATGAGTATCTTAATTTAAATGCTGCCATTCTTTCCCTCGTTTCGCATTTTATAAACTACTCGCTCTTAATTCGCTCCCTTTTTCTCCTTTTTTTGTTGTCGTATCGTATTGTTTGTAATCAGATTTTTATAGGCTGGCCCACCCGTAGGCTAAGAAAAAAACTTGTAAATGATTGAAAAAGAAAAGTATAGGAAAATGTTGTTGTTTTTGTTGTTGTTGCAGAAATCTGGCGATACTTGATTGATTGATTGATTGATTTATTTATTCAGGTATTCAGAACAGCGCAATATACAAGGTACTAAGCGAAGAAACGATAGAACTCGGGATAAATGAAACTGAAACTCACCTTCCGCTGGATATTGTCACGAGATCGTAGTTACTTTCTGTTCGGAATTCAGTGAAGATAAAATCAGGAAATTCCACGGCGCGATAAAGTAGCCACATACAATCAAGATTAATGGCGTAACCGTTGGGGTAACCAGGGGAGTTGATGGTGCCACTTCCTTCTTCGTATACGCCTCCGCAATCTATGTCTAGTGAAGTAAGGGAATTAAAAGAGAAGAACAGATTAATTGATCAATTACATTCCCTCGAGGCAAGCTAAAA